AGTTATAAAACATAGTCCCTGTTCCCAAAGAGCTAATACTGTTAGAGAAACAAGACACAGACATTCTATGTCATGCACCATTTAAATAACAATCCAAATAAAACATACAGGAACGAAGGCAAGGGATGGATAGCTGTGGGTACAGTGGTTGAGAAGGCTTCATAGCCAAGACTGAACCTGACCCGGGCCCTAAGAAGTAGAATTTTAATAGACAGAGGTTGAGAAGAGCATGAGCAAAGGTGAGAAGATGAGAGAGGAGAGAGTGGTCCAGCATTCATCAAGGAGACAAAAGGGACATAGGTGTGGGGGACAGGTCACATCAGTCATATTGGGGAGAGTTTTAAACGCTATTCTTATACAATTTTAAGTCATGAAATTTTAGTGAACATGATTAATATATTTCAATATTTAATCTGTAGCATGACTTGGAATGTATCTTCATGAGAAACTGTTTTAGAATTGATTGGAGGAGGAGTCAGAGCTGGAGGAATAAAGAGTAATATCAGAAGTGATGTTGTAAACCAGAAGTTCTCAAGGTGGCCCGTGGACCCCTTGGCAGTCACTGGGACCCTTTTAAAGGACCTGTGAGGTTGAAATTATGTTCATAATACTATTAAGATGGTATTTGCCTATTTCACTGTGTTGACGTTTGCACTGATGGCACAAAAAACAATGGTGAATAAAACTGCTGGTGTCAAGACAGTGGAACCAAAATGTACCAGGCAGCATTGTATTCTTTTGTTTTTTAAAACAGCTTTATTGAGGTATAACTGATGTATAATAAATAGCATATATTTAAAGTGTACAATTTGGTGAATTTTTACATATATGGACATGTGAGAAACCATCGCTATAATCAAGATGGCAAACATTTTGACCATGTCCAAGTTTCCCTGTGATCCTTAGTAACCCATCTCTCTCTAGCCCCTTGTACTTGATCTTTTTTGGTCACTATAAATTTATTTGCAAGTTCTACAATTTTATATAAATGGAATCATATAGAAAGTATTCCTTTTTCATGCTAATGCTAACCAAAGGCAAACTAAACAAAGTAGACTTCAGAACAAGGAAAAACCCAGGAGAAAGAGGATCATTTCATCATGATGTAAGATTAATCGATTAAGAGGACATAATAATCCTAAATGTATATGAACCCTAATAACAGTTTCAAAATACATGACACAAAAATTGACCAACGTAAACTGAAAAAGAAACATATAGTTGGGAAATTTCCATACCTTTCTCTATATAATGGGCAGAACAAGAGTACAGAAAATCAGTAAGGTTACAGGAGACTTAAAACAATTGACTTGAATGACATTTACAAAAAACAATAGGAGAATACATATTACTTTCAAGTGTACCTGGAACATTAATCAAGAATGACTGTATTCTGGGCAGTAAACAATAAATTTCAAAGGACTGAAATCATATAAAATATGTTCTCTGACCACAATGGACTTAAATTAGAAACCAACAACAGAAAGATAGCTGGAAAATCCCCAAATATTTGGAAACTAAACATTATACTTCTAAATAATCCATAAGTCAAACAATAGATCACAAGGGGAATTAGAAAATATTTGAACAGAATGAAAATGATTTTGGAACCTGGTATCATGAAACACATGAGCTTGAAAGTTTCTTAATACTTAAAGACTTCTCTGATGAGAATGGTGATATTAACAAATGTCATTTTTTTTAATGAAGTATATAGAAATGTGTCAACATTTGGAAGATCTATATAACTCAGTAAACCAATATTTTCCAAATGGCCAATGAAAGGCATTACAAAAGAGCCATTCCATGCAAGATGGACCAATGGATTTTATTGTAAAAGTACAAAGAGTTCATTGACTATGCGTTCAGATTCTATACTGCAACAAACCAACCTTTAAGAAACTACCTCTTGTCAAGTTTGGTGGTGTATAAAAAAAAATTCACAATTTTCTAAAAAAGTTTCTAAAATAGTCCTATTTTTTTCAGCTACATATGTGTGTGAGGCAACATATTCTTCATATACTTCAAACAAACCGACAAATTTTAAGACTGAATAAGGAAGCAGATAGAATACAGCTATCTTCTATGAAGCCAGACATTAACAAGACTTGCAAAAATGTAAAACAATGCCACTCCTCTTATAACATTTAAAAATTTTTTGAATATAGTTATTTTCTTTTTTAATATCACTACCAATCTCATTAGAATATAGTTATTTTCATATGTTCACATAAAACAATGATTTTATTTTAAATGAATTAATAAAAATTTTAAAAATTTATCTGTTTTAATGTTTACCCACCATTTTCTAACAGATGGAAGAAAGCTTAAAATAGTTAAGTAGTAAGACTTGGTGAATGAATGAATTATATTGGTAAAAGGAAAACAACTTAGGTACCTATGATGTAAGACTTGGTGCTCAGAAATCTCTGAGATTAAAAAATGATATAATCATAATGAATTTTTTGTTCATAACAGATTTCCCTGTTCTAATCCAGAGGATTAATCACCATAATTGAGCTGACCAAAAACTCATTCAGTTGAAAACATCAAGTTGTACAAGGGCTCAATTAGAATTCCGGCACACTGCCAAAAGGCCTTTTATATCCACACTTAATGGACAGGACACATGTCTGCCCAGTGCTGTCATGCCTGGGCTGAGAAAGAATGACTGATGGAGTCAGATGGGAGATTCATGCAAGGTAGAGCGAGCCCAGACTCAGCAGACATAGAAGTCCTTACCCCAGCTGTGGGGTCCCTAAAGAACTAGATGTATTCGGACCCTGTGTATGCATACAGTGCAGCAGTTAAAGCTCACAGGACAGACTGCTTGGGTTACTCTTTCCTTAGCTGTAGAATTTCAGAAAAGGTTTACTTCTTTGTGCCTCTTTTTTCCTAAAACAGGGATAGTTTTAATTTTTTTTTAAAGATTTTATTTATTTATTTGACAGAGAAAGAGACAGCGAGAGAGGGAACACAAGCAGGGGGAGTGGGAGAGGGAGAAGCAGGCTTCCTGCCAAGCAGGGAGCCCGATGCAGGGCTCGATCCCAGGACCCTGGGATCATGACCTGAGCCGAAGGCAGATGCTGAACCGACTGAGCCACCCAGGTGCCCAAAAACAGGGATAATTATTATATCATAGGGTTACTTGATGATTATAAATGTAAAGCACTTAGAAAAGCACCAAGTATAAGAAGTACTTGATAAATATTACTATTACACAATGTTTTACCTGAAATATGGAGTACAAAAGTACTAATCTACAGGATGGGTGACAGTGCAAGAAATATAATAAAAGACTCTAAAAGTTAACTATGATATCTAAAAGTTCCAGGGTTAAAGACTTATAAAGTGATCACAGATAATGTTACAAGAAAAAAATTATCTCAAAATTATCATTTGAAAATGAGTAAATAGATTTGGTATAGACGTTCTTTTTTTTTTTTTTAAGAATTTATTCATTTATTTGACAGGGAGAAACACAGCCAGAGAGGGAACACAAGCATGGGGAGTGGGAGAGGGAGACGCAGGCTTCCCTCTGAGCAGGGAGCCCGATGCACAACTCAATCCCAGGACCCTGGGATCATGACCTGAACTGAAGGCAGACGCTTAACGACTCAGCCACCCAGGCACCCTTGGTATAGACTTTCGATTCAGAAAGCATCTACTGAATGTTTTCAAAACTGATGCATTCTTTCATGTTATGAGAAAAATATATACTCAACTAACAATTCTGAGACAAGTGATATATTTTTCCTTTTTTTTAATAAAAAGCAAAATTTAAGTAAGCATTTAAAAAAATTTTTAAAGCTACAAAGTATTGATCATTGTATTATAATAACTATGTAAATGTCAGCATCTACACCTTGACTTGAAGTGAGAAAAAGAAAAATATAGGCTGAATGGAAAAGGAAATAGGTGATGTGGATTAAGGAATGCACTTGTTGTGATGAGCACTGGGTGATCTATGGGATGCTGAATCACTATGTTGTACACCTGAAACTAACATTACACTGTATGTTAACTAACTGGAATTTAAATAAAAACTTAAAAAAAAAAAGTCTAAGGACTATCAGCCTATGTGAGAGGAAAATCCAGAGAGCGGGTAATGGTGACAGGCAGGAGGAGAGCAGTGCAGGGGGCCGGATAGTAGGAGCATGACAGCGTGCAGTGATGGCACGCTGGACAATGGACCAGGGGCAGGATAAAGGACTCTGGAGCCCTGACCTGATTGTGGGTAAGGCAGAGTCATCCAAACAGCTTCCTGGAACTACTCCCATTCCTGCCTCATGCCTAAGACACACACAGAAACCAGAACAGGGAGTTTGCGAAATCACCCCACAAAATAAGCTGGCAGTTTGAGGCAGAAAACACTTAAAAGAGGATATGGTAGTCTGCAAACTCTACTGTCAGTTATGTCAACACATGACAAAGAATTTCCACATTCTTACTTCTGCAAGCGCTCCCATACTTCTGCAGGACTTCTGCAGTCAAACACCAGGAGCCCAGCACACTCTGCCTCAGGCCATTAACCTGTACTAACCCCCCAGAGCAGGGAGGGATGGGGGCAGCAGTAGCCTGGAATGCCTCCAGGCTTTCACGAACGCTTCTTCAAGTAATAATCAGTGCTGTGCTTCCATCTGCCTCACTAACAGAATACAAACGTGTATGTAGGACAGGAGGAAATAAAGTTCTATACACAATCTATGCTTCCCATACACGCCAAACCAGCCCAGGGACTGTTTAAAGGCAAACGAGAGAGCGTGTAAGAAGTTTGCTGAGTAGGAAAAGAGTGACAAGGCTGCTCATTCGAGTGAGCCGACCATTACACTTCACCCGAGCAAATCTTTTAGCTTGAGTGGATAAAATACTTAAGACTTACAGTGACCCCTTTTGAGAGAAGATGACAGTGAAGGAATAAGGTACCAGAGAAGTTCTAATTTGTGATCTTTTCTCAAGAATAAATTATTACTAAGATTAAAAGGAATGTATTGACTTACCTGGAAAATATCTGCCTTGTCGTCAAATAGGCTGACAAAATATTTATAGTCAGCATAAGCCCAGAATTTGGAATGATCATAATCTCTAAATGGTCCATACATAGTAGGCTGGTCACAGTTCCAGGTCAGGAACTCTTCAAGTGTAGCTTCTACGTAACCACATGTTGTTTCAAACTGAGGAACTGCAATGGAAAAGAACTCAATTTTAAATGTACACTGAACACAAGTTCCAAATATTGTTTTTTTAAATGATGATAATTTCAACCAAAAAAAGTTATCATTTAACATTAATTAAAAATTACTTTTGTGCTTGCTATATAATTAGAACCATCTACAACACTCACAATACTCATGATTTAACATAAAGGTAAAAAGGTTTTAACCTTAAGATTAAAAACTACCCTTAGGATAGCCTGATTCAGTAGTCCAGTGGTATACTTTATTTTTTTTAAAGATTTTATTTATTTGACAGAGAGAGAGAGAGCACGCACAAGCAGGGGGGAGGGGCAGAGGGAGAGGGAGAAGCAAACTCCCCACTGAGCAGAGAGCCTGATATGGGATTCGATCCTAGGACCCCGAGATCATGACCTGAGCTGAAGGCAGACGCTTAACTGTCTGAGCCACCCAGGTGCCTCAGTGGTATACTTTAGATTATTAATTTTCCAAGATGATGTTTTCAGGGGTCTATGAGGTCTAAACTATTTTCACAATAATACTCTGATGTTTTTCATTCTCATTCTCTCACGAGTGTACAGTGGAGTTCACCAGAAGCTACATGACATTAGTTGATGTCACTGCTCTGACAACTAGTGGAATACATATTTATGTTTTTGTATTTTAATAATGTCTCAGTTTTAATTTATAATACGGTAAGCATCACTAGATATAATCCTCATTGACAAAAGCTCACTGGGGAACTCAATTTTTTTTAAAGGTACAGCATCTATTTATTTATTCATTTATTTATTTTAAGATTTTTATTTTTATTTTTGGACAGAGAGAGAGACAGCGAGAGAGGGAACACAAGCAGGGGGTGTGGGAGAGGGAGAAGCAGGGTTCCCGCCGAGCCGGGAGCCTGATGCTAGACTCGATCCCAGGACCCCGGGATCATTACCTGAGCCGGAGGCAGATGCTTAACGACTGAGCCACCCAGGCGCCCCAGGTACAGCATTTATTGCGTTTCCAAATATTACAGAAAATATGGAATGCTTCATGAAGTTGCATGTCATCCTTGTGAAGGGGCCATGCTAAGCTTCTCTGTGCTTCCATCTGCCTCACTAACAGAATACAAACGTGTACATAGGACAGGAGGAAGTAAAGTTCTATACACAATCTATGCTCCCCATACACACCAAACCAGCCCAGGGACTGTTTAAAGGCGAACGAGAGAGTGTGTACAAAGTTTGCTGAGTAGGAAAAGAGTGACAAGGCTGCTCATCTGAGTGAGACGACCATTACACTTCACCCGAGCAAATCTGTACTGGGGAACTCAATAATTTTTAAGTGCAAAGGGATCCTGAGACCAAAAATTTGAGAGCTACTTCTCCAGATTAAAAAGGAAAAAAAGCAATGACATCTTTTGAAAATTTTCTGACTTTATATTGCACATATATCATACATAGCTCCTCAGAATCATTAAGTGGCCAATGGCAACTTAAAGTCTGTTCATTTATTCATTAACTCATTTATTTCAGAATCGTTTATTAAGTACCTAATTTGTAACTAGCACTGTACTCAGGCTTGTGGGAACATAAAAGAGAGAAGTAATACTCTTGAATTGAGAACATACTTAGACAAAGCCAAAACTTTAGCCAGAATAATAGGAAATTTGAGGCATTACCTAATTAAATGCAAAATTTTGTGCCTCAGACACGTAGGAAAAGGCAAAGACCCAGAGAAGAAGGTTGATCAGGAAAGCTGAGAGAGAAGTCTATTGTCTGTCCAGAATGGTTTGTTATTATGGGATGACTTATTCATATAAGAACTATTCTTCCAAATAGTGATAAAATGAAATTTTTTTGGTAACAAGCAGAATGTTGTCAATGTACACTGGGAAGTTAATATTCAAGAAATCTGATTATGGTCAGCATGAAATCCTTTTAAGTGATACAGATCTCCTGCATGTAAATCAGTTAGCACAATACATGAAACATAGCAGATGCTCAGTAACAGGCACTAATTCGGATTCTTATATTAACTTCAAAAGTTAGCTGAATTAGTAGTAAGAGGAGAAGGGTATTCAAAGGGTACTCTTCTTTCAACAGCTTTTATCTTTTCCCTCCATTTCTACGTGAACTGCCTAGAATTATCTTGATCTTCTTTCCCCCCTCCTCTCTTTTTCCTATAACTTCAGAATGGTGGAGAAGTAAATGAGGGGAGGGTGTATGTCAAAGAGTCATCCTAATTCATCTACTTCATCAACCTGTCATCTGACCTTGAGAAGCAGGAAGACTTTACAGGAGTACATTTATCTAAAAGGTAAAAATCTGCAATATTAAGAACTATTTAAATTCAACAATTTTTGAGAAGCACTCAGAACAGTGCCTGCCACTGTAACCCATCAATATATATATATATATTCTTAATATTAACAACATCATCATTAAGAATTTACCCCAACAACAGGGGCACCTGGGTGGCTCAGTCAGTTCAGCGTCTGCCTTGGCTCAGGTCATGATCCCAGGGTCCTGGGATTGAGCCCCGAGTCCAGCTCTCTGCCTGGCAGGGAGCCTGCTTCTCCCTCTCCCTCTGCTTCTCCCCTCTGCTTGTTCTCTCTCTCAAATAAATAAAATCTTAAAGAAAAAAAAAAAAAGAATTTACCCCAACAACATAGGAATACACAGAGTTTTTTTTTAACAAACAAAAACCCATGTGGCAAGACAGCTGCATGGTTCTGGGAAATAGGAGTCATTTTATAGTCATTTCAGTAAGCTCCAAGGGAAGCCTGAAGTCATTACACTGTCTTAAGAGTTTTCACTTCATAAAATTCAGTCCAACTGATCGAAATGAATACTAAAGCCATTACTTGAGATACTTGTCCCTGGGGGGTACAGTAGTAGGCCGGTTTTCACAGACATGTCTGTATTGCAGCCTTATCAAGGGACTTTGTTCTCTGTCACAGCAAGTTCTGTACTTTAAAAAATTAAAATCTAAAAGGGCAAAAATTACATGTGAGAACTGTTACTGTCAGGAGAAAATTACAATGAATGCAATGAATGGAAATGACAGACTTTTTTACATTTACATAGTGATTTCAAAATAGAATCTTTTGAATTTTTCCTTCCTGGAAGTAGCAGCACCAAAGGTACTGTTTTCATTCTGTTATCATGACAATTTCTTTCTGGGTAGTATAGTTGTTTTTCTTAGTTTATTTCCTGCAATGCAATTATTCCTTTCTAACTTTATTATTATTGTTCTTTCATTTAACATTGAAGTAGCCTAGGCAGCTGCAATTTTCATCCCACTTACTGTCAAAGTGTTAGGTAAGAAGAAGCTCAACTGAGCTCAGGATTTGGAAGTAGTGTGTAAATTGAGTTTGCCTCAACCCTCATAAAAGGGAGTCCTAAAATATGTTTTGCAGAGTAGGGAAACAAATATTTCTCCATTTTGTTAGACTTCATCATTTCTTTTATTTATTTACTTAACAGAGAGAGAGAGAGGAAGAGGGAGCACAAGCAGGGGGAGGGACAGAGAGAGAGAGAGAAACAGGCTCCCAGCTGAGCAGGGGAGTCCAACACTGCAGCTCCATCCCAGGGATCCAGGATCATGACCTGAGCCAAAGACAGCCGCTTAACCGACTGAGCCACCCAGGCGCCCCTAGACTTCATCATTTTACAAGCAAGAAACACTGCATGGAATGTGGGTACTTTTGACCATCATTGCACCCCCATCTACGAATGCTTACTTAGGGTTATTTCTACAACTGTTTTTCCCAAATTACTGCCAATTGAGGTATAGTATTGCCACTGGGCCCATATGATCCAAATGAATTTAATCCAGAATCGTTTCAAAGAGCTATGAGATGTTATTATCTGCTTCTGAAAATAAACTAAGAGATACATATAATTCAAATAGTAATAATTACCAATACTACTGTCTCAAGCATTCTAGAAAAACTCAAACCAAGACCTAAAACAAAAATAAATACATTCAAAAGGAAGGAAACAAAGTTATCACTGATTATAAGATCAGGTGCCTGTCTTCAGAGAAAACCCACAAAAATAAACTAAAAAACTACATACACTAATAAATAGCTGCATAAAAAAAATAAACATACAAAAATAAATGGCTTTTAAAAATCTCATCACAACTAGCTAGAAAAATATAATAGGTAAAAATAGTTTCCTTCATACCAGCTATAAAAAGTTTATATTTATAATATTTTAAAAAATTTGTAGACCTGTATGAAAACCCCAATCTTTTCATTAAGAGATGAAATGGACTTGCTAGGTGAAAATGCCACGTTCGTGTGTAATAAGGTAACACTATTATCACAAGGTAGATTCTTTCTGAATTAACTTACAACACTTAATGAATTTTTACTTAAAATCCCAATAGGATTTGTTTAATATGAGTACATTATTTAACTCTAAAATTCACTTAGAGGAATAAAATTCCATAACATCTAAGAAAATACTGAGAAAGAAGAGTAATTAGGGAGGATGAATTGTTCTTTCAAATATTAAAATATATATCAGTTGCTAAAATAGCATTTAAGAAATGTTTTACCGGCTTCAAAACTGATAGCGCAATACGTGGTCCAAAAACAGATGCTGGAATTTATAAGAATACAGTAATATAATAAAGATGATTTCAAAGTCAGTAGGGGTAAACAGGATTATTCAGTAAATGGTACTGAAATAAAAGGTATTGTTATTTCCAACTTAACTAAAAAAGTCAGTGAACACCATACATCAAAATAAATAAGGAAAGGATAAAGAGTAAAATGTAAAAGGGAAATAAGCTATCAGGAGAAAATATTAGAATATTTACCTATTTTTAAGATACAGAAAGAATTTCTAAGTAAATAAAATAAGAATAAAATGTTAATGAGATTGGACTATATAAAAATATTAGTCCAATTTTTTTTTTAAAGGTAAATCTCAGTTTGGGTAAAGGAGTGGCAAAACAGGCACCCTCGCATGTTCTGACAGGAGAGTAAATGGAAACCACCTTTCTGTGAAGCACTTTGCCATGTGTACCGAAGGCCTTTCATTCTTTCACTCCACAAATATCTGAGTGTCCACTTGGTGCTCAGTCCATGGTGAGGCCTGACCCAGGCCCTCGGGAAGGAGCCCTTCTTGAGGGGAGGAGAGACTTCAAACAGTTAATTACTTACAGACTAACCACGTGATTCTAACTGAGCTAAGTGCTACTGGGAAATACAAGGTGCTCTGGTACAACGAGAAGCTGCCCCTGATTTGGGAGGCAGAGGTGCTGTGATCAGGAAAGACTTCGATGAGAAAATGATATTTGAGCTAAGATCTGAAGGAAGAAGAGGAGTTAACCAGGGAAAGCTGCAGTAAGAAAAAATGGGAAAGGAGAAAAGGAAGGCTGGACTCTATATGCAAAGGCCTTTAAGAAAGCAGAAGCAAACCTCTGGAAACACAAAAGCTGGAAAGAAAATGTTTGTTTGGCCAGAGCTCAGGGAGAGGGATTAAGCTGATGAGGCAAACAGGGATTTCTACACCACACAAAAATTTTGGCCCTTAGCCTAAGGGTTATGGAAGAAACTTAAGGGTTTTAAACAGAAAAACAGGATGAGATTTGTTTTTTTAAAAAACTGTCTCTGGTTTCAATATGAAAAATGGCCTGGATCAGGAGGGAAGGGGGTGCAGAGGAACCAGGGACGAGACTACTGCAACTATGTTGGTGAGAGAGAGCAGGGTAACCCGCCTAGAAGGTGGCCATGGGGGAATGAGAGAAGCAGGTGGATATGCTACATATTTTTAGTGTGTAAGTCACAGGGTCACCAGACACCACTCAGAGGGGCAATCAGATGACTCAGAAGTTTCTGGTGTAAGAAGGTTCATGCATAGTGCTGCAACTCGTGATAACATTCACACCCTTTGACCCAGTCATTCTCCTTCTAGGAATCTATCCTAGGGAAATAATCAGAAACTTGAACAAGATTTGTTTTCCAAAGATGCTCACTACAGTCTTATTTATAAATTTGAAGCTTCTAAGCAATCTACATAATCAAAAGGAAAAAATTTTTAATTCATTATGATACTAGCATACAACAGAGTGTTAGCCATTTAAAAGTCACATTTAACATCAAGAGAAACTGCTTAGGACATGTGAAGTGAAAAAAAAAAAGCAGGCCGTGAAAATTAATACAACTTTATTTTTAAAATACAAAAAGTCCTGCATAAACAGTTATCGGAGTGTAACTAGTGGTTCTCTCTTGGTAACAGGACAAGTGTTTTTACATTTCTTTGGATCTTCCCCTTTTTTCAATGTTCTCTACAATGAGGAAGTCATACTTTTATTTTTTAATTATTTCTATTTTTAAATAACATTTGTTGAGCATTTACTATGTGCTAGGCACTGTTCTACATGTTTTATGCATACAAACACACTTAATCTTGAAAAGATTTGTAAGATACAGAGAAGTTAAGTAACTCGCCCAAAGTCACATGGTAAGCCAGAATCTGAACCCATGCAAGCTGATTCCAGAGTTGGCCCCGCATCAGGCTCCCTCCTCAGCGGGAAGCCTGCTTCTCCCTCTCCCACTCCTCCTGCTTGTGTTCCCTCTCTCATTGTCTCCCTCTCTGTCAAATAAATAAATAAATAAAATCTTAAAAAAAAAAGGCTTTGTGTTAGATGATTTTGCTCATCTGTAAGCTAATAAGTGTTCTGAGCACATATAAGGTAAGCTAGGCTAAGCTATGATGTTTGGTAAGTTAGGTGTATTTCTTTTTTTTTTAGATTTTATTTATTTATTAGACAGAGAAAGAGAGACAGCATGAGCAGGGGAAGGGGCAGAGGGAGGAGACTCCCCACTGAGTAAGGAGCCCAATGCTGGCTCGATCCCAGGACTTTGGGATCATGACCTGAGCCCAAGACAGACACTTAACCAACCAAGCCACCCATGTATCCAGTTAGGTGTATTAAATGCAGTTTTGACTTGAGATATTTTCAATTTATGATGGGTTTATCAGGACTTAATCCCATCATAAGTTGAGGAAGACCTGTAAGATCTCTTTCAAACTCAACAACAGAAAGACCAAACCTCCCAGCCCCAAACCAAAAAACACCTCAATTAGAAAATGGGAGGGACACCTGGGTGGCTCAGTTGGTTAACCTTCTGCTTTCGGCTCAGGTCATGATCCCAGGGTCCTGGGATCGAGTCCTGCCTGGGGCTCCCTGTTCAGTGGGGTGTCTGCTTCTCCCTCTGCTCCTTCCCCACCCCCCAACCCCCACTTGTGCATGCGTGCATGCACTCACTCTCTCTCTCGTGCACAAAAATAAATAAAATCTGAGAAAATGGGCAAAGGACTTGAATAGACATTTTTCCAAAAAGATATACAAATGGTCAATAAACACGTGAAAAGATGCTCAACATCATTAGTCATTAGGGAAATGCATATCAAAACCATAATGAGATAACACTTCACACCCACTAGGATGGCTGGAATAAAAATAGGGTAAGTATTGACAAAGATGTAGAGAAATTATCATACGGTGGGGTGGGAATGTAAAATGTTTCAGCTGCTTTGGAAAACGTTTTGGCAGTTCCTCAAAAGGTTAAACACAGAGTTACCATATGACTCAGCAATTCCCCTTCTAGGTATAAGCCCAAGAGCAATGAAAACATATATCCACATAAAAACCTGTACATAAATGTTCATCGTAGCATTATTCATAATAGCCAAAAAGTGGAAACAACCCAAATGTCCATCAACTGATGAATGGATAAACAAAACGTGGTATATACTACAACCTGGATGAATCTTGAAAATATGCTATGAAAGAAGCTAGACACAAAAGGCCATGTATTGAATGATTCCATTTATATGAAATGTCCCAAACAGGCAAATCTATAAAAACAGAAAGCAGACTAGTGGTTGCCAGGGACTGGGGGTAAAGTGGAATGGAGAGTGACTGCTTAAAGGGTACTGGGCTTCCTTATTAAATGATGAAATGTTCTGGAATTAGACAATGATGATGGTTGCACAACATCGTGCATATGCTAAAACCACTTAATTGTATACTTTAAAATGATAAATTTTATTTTATGTGAATTGTATCTAAATTTTTAAAAAAATTATCTTTAGTAAAAACAGAGCAGTTGCTCACAACTGCAGAGACCTTCTAGTTTCTTTTTCATTTATGCTTAAGTATTAGCTTGAAAATGTCAAATCACTGTGCCTCATCTACAAAATAAGCTTATAATAGTACCATTCTAAGAGGGTTTGAAGAAGATTAAGAGAATTAACATGTAGAAAGTACTCAGAAGAGTGCCTGACACAATAGTTCTCAATAACTGTTAGCAATTGGTGGTCGTATTGTATTTGGAGTCTAATCAGGTATGTGAAAAAAATTACAGTTCCTATTTATCTCCAAATTATTGTCTAATAGACACCTCAGTGGATGGGAGATTTATTTGACTAAAATCAAGAAAGAAAAAGCACAAGCTAAATTTGTATGTGCCTTTTGCTGGTCTAGCATTTAATTTTAAAATACAGTAAACATTTTGGTCTGTGATTAGAATGAGAGGCTAAAGAGTTTTAGGTATTAATCCTGCTCTACCTGCCACGAGTACAAGGGGGTTCTAGACACCAAAAACCAAGTAATTCTTGAGAGATGTACGAGAAAGTCAACACGAGAAAAAGAAGTTTAGAGAAGCTAGAAGGGAAACTGGGTAATTTTCTAGTTCCTTCTGAGTTATTAATAGATATTCATAGAGCCACTTCCCAGCAATGCTGCAAACATTAGACTACCAAACTCTAGACACCAAACTACAAAACAGAAGTTGTACACATTCTAAAGCCAGACAATGGTTATGGACTCCTTTAGATTAAAAACAGCACTGTTTCTTTCCTTTAAATTAACTATTTTTAGAGTTAACAGTAACTGTGTTATCTGACTATAAGGCAAAATATCAAAATGTTACAAGTCTCCAGGGAAGAAGAAGCTGGCAAAATCTAATTGCTTAAGAGGATGAAAAAAAGACAGCTTTACATACTTTTCATATTTATGCAGTACCATAGAGGTCAGGCAGCTGAGTAGAGCAGAGAGATAAAATTACAACCGAGAGTAAGCACTATAAATATAGTGCCTGAAGCCACAAATAAAAGGATACATTCTACATGAGTCAAAAGTAAAAGGGACCATAAGCTTAGTAATCATCTTCCCAGTCACAGGGGAACATAATAACACATTAACAAATATTAAGTATCTACCACATTCAGTGAACCATGATACATGAACAAATACAACTTATAAGGTTATCAACTGTATAAGGTTATCAACTACAGGCTTAGTCTAAAAAAAAAAAATCTTAACACAAACTGTCCTTCTAAAACTTCCAATAAAACTTTCCCATCTGCAAATGGTCAAAAACAGGATTAGAAATAAAGGATTCTCTAGAGATAAAGAAACCACTGCTAAGAATGTGAGAATGCTACTAAAGAGACATTATTATGATGATTATTTGTAGTCCTACCTCTATCTGTTCTTTTCATTCCCATCCTGAATCGTATCTGCTTGCCATGAAGGACCTCAGAAAGGTGTTTAACAGTCCAGTGTCGTGCTGGCCAATCAAAAGCCATGTTACAGAAGACTGCAGGTTGTTGTAAAGACATTATAATTTCTTTTGCTTTCTCTGGTGTAAAAGGTTTGACGTGTTCACCTAAGGAGAGAAATAGATAACTATAAAGTTATTTCATATAATATGAAGGAAAAATAGCTAATATCATTTCTATTATGGTAAATCTTTCTATGCAATTATACTACATTTTACACTTCATTTATTACTATTTACATAAATATTTGACCTCAAAAACCATAATTCTTAAATGATTTTTTCATACTAAATTTTAAATGTTGGAAAATATTTACAATTTTCATGTCAAATGTTTTTAAAAAAGGCTTTCCAACCATATTTAAATTTTAAAAGACAATTTACTGAAAATTATATTTCCTAAACAGAGGGTTGTATACAAAATGCTGATGGGAACTACTCTAGAACTAGAGTTGCTGGAGTCAGGTATAATTCTACTTGCTATATCATGTGTTTACCCAAAAAGACTACTGAATTCACACATCAGTCAAAGAGGTGAGGGGGGGATTATTTTCATTCACGATTTAAAAAGGTAAAAGATGTACTAGGATGGATATCGGTGTTAATCCTTGACTTCAGTTGCATCTATAAACAGTATAAGGGATATGGGATATGTACAAACAAATACTGTGACTTACTGAGTACTTCAATAAACTTCACAGAATTATAGACTGTAAGTAAATCATGGATAGGATGTAATGATAAGTATTTGCTAAATAAAAGAACAAGTAAGTTTTCCCTTAAAGACATCTTAAAAGGAAAATTTTTGGGGAAAGTCAAAAAATAGTTCATACTCTGACTCCAGATATATATATACATATATATATCATCAGCATGTATTTATGATTCTCTAGATTTGATTCTCTAGTCAGCTAAACCCTCTAATTCATTATCTGTTCTGTAATTACACTTAATTCAAAAAAATTAAGAAAAGCTCATAAATAATCCAAATTCTTCCATCATCCAACTTTCTTCTAAACTTTCTGATATGGGGCCCCTGGGTGGCTCAGTCGGTTAAGCGGCTGCCTTCTGCTCAGGTCATAATCCCAGGGTCCTGGGATCGAGCCCCATGTTGGGCTCCCTGCTCAGTGTGGTCTGCTTCTCTTTCTCCCTCTGCTCCTCCCCACTGCTCGCTCGCTCTCTCTCAAATAAATAAAATATTTTTAAAAAATTAAAATAAACTTTCTGATAAAAGGAAGAGGGATGGGGAAGGAGTCATCAAGGAACTTGAGTAATTTGTACTTGTCTGAATGCAAGGCTTGTTTTTAAAGAAAATGAAAATTTAAGTCAATTTGGCCCCTTTGCTCAGACAAGGGCAAATACTCAGAATCCTTCCCTAAACCCTTAATGAAAGTAAGCAAGACATGTGAGGACAGTCTGTTATTGTCTACACAGTCAGGGCTCCCAAGTGAGGAGATAAGGGTGGACACTCACAGGGGAAAGGCAGTAGAAGAGCTGGGGGCTGGGTGGGGGGAGGAAGAGAGAAGACACCCTTGGGTATCTCTAAGTAAATGAAGCCCCAGCTTATCTTTAAGTGCTAAAGAGCCTATAAGGGAAACAGGATATGACCAGGAACAAAATTTTCTACCCTTCCTTGAGGTTCTTGTTTTCCACTTTTGACATGTTTGATAAATTTACATTAGGGGACTTGACCCATATTCGCCTATAAATGTAAGTACAAGGTTACCTGGATCGCGACCCACCAAACCTTCCTGGACTTGGAGTGCCTGGATTCCGTGTACATGAAAAATGGACAAGCTGCATTTTTTATTATATATTTTTTAAGTTTTGCTAGGCTGTGAGAAGCTGCAATACATTCATGATAATACTTTGTTGTTTGTGGCACATAAATTAGTACTATCCTTTGGCAAACAACTGTAAAAATGAAGCAGAAGTCTCAAATAACCACCCATTAACCTAGTAACTCATGTTATAGGAATTTGCTTTTAACAAAGTAATCATCAGCTATATGAATACTCATATATATTATATATGTTTACATATACACATAAAATATCTACTACCATAATATAAAAACTGAAAATATAAACAGCCTAATGTCTAAAAGTAGAAAAATATTTACTGAATATTACTAAATGTTATGTACATTTTTTCCATGGTACATTATATTCATTAGCAATAAAAATGAGGGCTATGGAGAAATGTGTGGAGATGCAGAGACTGGAATTGACTCAGAGAGCTACTGTACTAGCCAAGTAAAAAGTGTTACAGTAAGGCCCTGAACAACAAGGGGGGGGCAGTAAGGAGGGCAGAGATGGTAGAGATATAGAAATACTAGGATAATAGTATCAAAGACTATGACAAGCAAAGATGTGGGGTGGGAGGCAGATGCAGCCATAAGGGATACTGAGGTTTCCAGACTTTGTGACTTGACATAAAAAAAAGTTAGGAGCAGCAGCTCATTCTGGTGGGAAGATGAAGAGTTTGGTTCTGAACATCATCATCATCATCATAATGCATTTCTTCATATGATGCTTTACTATTTGCCATGTACGTTTATATACATTAAAACTGCTCATCTGATCATCTAAGAAGCCTACAAAACAGGCAGAGAAGACATTTTATCTCCATTATCCAAAGGAAGAATAGGAAGCTCAGATGTCAAAGCTCAACACACCGGTGATGAACTGGAACTACAGGTCAGGTTCCCTGATTCCAAGCGCAGTGCTCTTTCCACTGCACCATCCTGCTTCCAGAGAAATCAAACTGTGGGACCTACACGAACACTACAAACTCAGGAGAGAGAGTATAATCTGAAAAGAGAAGTAAGTTTCGGAAAGCTGTAGACCAATTCATGGATAATAAATCCAGGTGTGCTGTCAGGGAGAGAGGCATGTTTTGGTTTGTGCCTATGTGGACAGGGGTTGGTGGGATGATACCTGTAGTACAGACTTTTAGTTGCCTACCTTATCCCATTCCCATTTTCTTCTTCCTTACTAACAACTCTGCGCAACGAGTGTGGCTGAAAAATTACAATTCCTAGACTCCTATGCAGACACAAGCAGCTAGAGATATATCTGGAAGTTGCCTAGTCAGTCTTTTTGCCCTTAGCCTTCTCTCCCACATTTTGCCTGGAAAACAGACATGATGGTTAGCCACCTTGAGAGATCAAAGAAAGGCCCAGGGGGCGCCTGGCTGGCTCAGGTGGTAGAGCATTTAACTCTTGATCTTGGAGTCATGAGTTCAAGCCCCACATTGGGCTTAAACAAACAAACAAAAGCCCAGGAAATTGCAAACCTCAGCTGAAAGAATGCAAAACATCCATCTTTGTGCTACTAAATCAATACCAGCAAAATTCTACCTCCTAAATTCTTCCACATATAAAAAGTAATTCTTATAGTCAAGATTGTTACTAGTTCATAACTGGTTTAACACCTTGCCTTCTGAGGCTATTGTTTTCAAGGACAACCATATTCTCTCTATAAAATACTCTGTGACTTACACTGAATGAATCATGGCTGGTCTGACCTGTAGCACTCTTTCAGTTCTATAGTTACAAAATATTCAAGCTTTGAACACTTTGTTTCTAGAACTTTAAAGGGCAGAGAAAAAGAGAAGCACCAGTCCTTTTGGGGTAGGGATTCATTTATTCTGCTTATTAAAAGATTTATTTATTTATTTATTTATTTGTCAGACAGAGAGAGAGAGAGAGAGAGAGAGCGCGTGCAAGCAGAGGGAGTGGCAGGCAGAGGGAGAAGCAGGCTCCTCCCTGAACAAGAAGCCCAATGCAGGACTCGATCCCTGGACCCTGGGATCATGACCTGAGCTGAAGGCAGACGCTTGACCGACTGAGCCACCCAGGCGCCCCTATTCTGCTTATTTTAATCAGAGCCAATAGATCTGGCTTTGAACGTTCCCCAAAGACTTCTCATATTTGGGTAAGATATATCTTGCCACCCTTCCACAAATAAATACATGGTCATTAGTAACACATGAGTAGTGTTTTGACACTACTTTTTGAATAGCTTCAAAGAAATATTTTTTCCTCTAACATAATGCCTTTTAAAAAAGTAGTTAATGATCTGATTTAAAAATCCCAGACATCCCAGAAGTTATTTAATAAGAGACCTTAAAAACTAAAATTTGCTGAGAAAGCACCTGGCCCAGTGACTGGGATATATTAAATGCTCAAACGTTTGCTAAATGAATAAAAAGTGCAATAAAGTGTGTACAGAACAGGCAGTAGGATGCTCACCATAACAAGAAATTAGCATATTTACAGAATCTCAGGCCTATCAATGAAATAATCACTTGGTTGTGACATAAAAGTAATTGGGTTTCTGATAGTTTAATCAACAATGGACTGGGCCATTAAATTAGCAAACTAAAGTGTTACAATTTCCTTTAAAGAAGAATGCAATCTACGTTGTATTAATTAAATAGCCTAGGGATGCACCCAGTCACTCCAAGCCAGGAATATCTGCAAAGAGCATAAAAATTCTGAAGCAACCTTGACAGCCTTTAAAGGATAAGTGTATTTTAGGTCTAAACTTGCAGCAAGCAATAATTTCTAATGAAATGACCTAGAAACTGCTGAAAAAAAGATTAGTGATCTAGGTGTTGCACATAGTCTTTTCTCCCTCTAAATGTAGCATGTAATTCTGACAATTTATTAAAGCTTTGGTTTCAACTCATTCTTTGGAGATACTGAAACACGATTAAAAAACAAACTGCCTCTTTCTCAGCAATTTTTTCTTTAATTAATGCAAGCTACATGATAATTTGAAACTTAATTTCTCTGAATTTGTTAGCAATCTGCCTTCCTCCATCAATTAATACCTGGCTTGGATTTGTATCTGAGATTTAGAATTCAAGATGAGAACAAGGAAAACTTCCCAAGTTTCCAGAATTCGTTCCTAATATTGATAGAATACAACAAAGATCCTGAAACTGAAACTAACTCATCTCTCATGTCAGGTATAATTTTAAAAAAATGTTAATAACTATAAAATTTCAATTAAATTTTATTAAAATCTTATTTAAAAGTTTTTAGAAGGTGACAGAAGAGCAGGTCACAAAACTGGGTCCTGGCATAGTAATCTAAATTA